TTCAACAAACATGAGCTCCTTGAGTTACAACCCCTATCTCCCGTCTGTGCAGCGGAGGCGGGTGGTGGTGCACAGCAGGACACCCTTCAGCGGAGGAAGTAGTCGCTCTCGCTCCGTCTATTCGACCTATTCATCCCCGTCCCGTGCCTCGGTTCTGTCCTCCTCAGCAGGTCTGCAGCTTTCTGCTGCATCACCAGATCTGGACCTGAGCCAGGCCTCTCAGCTGAGCTCAGAGTTCAAAACAGTGCGGACGCAGGAGAGGGCTCAACTTCAGAACCTTAATGACCGCTTTGCCGGCTTCATTGACCGTGTTCATGGCCTGGAGCTCCAGAACCGTGCCCTGGAAGCAGAGCTGCTCTTGTTGCGCCAGAGGCACTGCGAACCCTCCCGTCTCAGGGGGTTGTATGAGCAAGAGGCGAGGGAACTCCGTGCGGCGGTAGATGAGGCCCGTAGGGAGCATCAAGTGGCTCAAGAAAGGCGGGACCGACTGGAGGAGGCACTCAAGGCCTTGCAGAATCGCTACGAAGAAGAAGTCCTGGCCCGTGAGGGAGCTGAAAGACAGATGGTGGATGCCAGGAAGGGGGCAGATGATGCGGCATTGGCCCACACTGAGCTCGAAAAAAGAGCTGACACTCTGTTGGATGAGCTGGCTTTCCTTAAGAGGCTCCACGAAAGCGAAATCGCCGAGCTCCAAACCCAGGTGCAATACAGCGCCCAGATGTCCGTTGAGATGGAAGTGGCCAAACCGGACCTCTCGGTAGCTCTCCGCGAAATCCGAGGTCAATATGAGTGCATGGCGCAGCAGAACATCCAGGCTGCAGAGGAGTGGTTCCGTGGAAAGGTGAGCACCATGGCGGAAGACACGGCCAAACACACGGAGAACATCCGCACCTCTAAAGACGAGGCTGGGGAGTACCGTCGCCTGCTAAAAGCTAGAGACCTGGAGATCGAAGCATGCCAGGGCTTGAACCAAGCACTTGAGCGACAACTGCAAGAGGTCGAGGAGAAACAGAGTGCAGAGATCGCCACCCTACAGGTCAGAATGATAACTACATGTACAATACACATTTATGGATTTGGCAGATGCTTCTATCCACAGTGGCTTACATTGCATTCAAAGTACACGTTTTATTAGTTCTTGTTTTTCCTGTTTACCTTGGCATTGTTAGTGTTATGCTCTACTGTTTCAGCTACAGGAAGGCTAAATACTGCAATACTTCTTCATGCACTGTTGTATGTCTTCAAATACGTTTTGTCTGGACAGGATACCATCGGTGACATGGAGAATGAGCTAAGAACCACGAAGAGTGAAATGGCCCATTACCTCAAAGAATATCAGGACCTTCTCAATGTGAAAATGGCCTTGGACATTGAGATAGCTGCTTACAGGTTAGTAACATCAATTTTTAACATTTGTTGCAATTGAGATGTATAGCCTATATAACCAAGGCCATAACAATTCAGAAAACTGGTCAGTCAGTAAGGGTTTTACATTTATTACATTCGATCCCCCCCAAACTTGAGTATTTCTTTACATCCTTAAATATAAAGTATGTTTACATTCCAACAGGAAGCTTCTAGAAGGAGAAGAAACACGCTTCAATGTGGGCGGTATTGGCGGTATCTCTAGTGTGTTTTCTCCCTCCATCGCCGCCACTCCTTCTTTCGGTCGTCCTGTGTTCTCTGTTCAGGCCAGTCTGACCTCTGGCGCCCCCTATCTTCTGGGAACCAGACTGATGAGCTACTCTGCCAAACCAGATGAGATCATTGAAGCCAGCAAGGCGCAGGAGGCTGGGGCAAGTCCAGAGGAGGAAGAGGAGGAGGAAGAAGGTGAGAAGGAGGAAGTAGAGGAGGAAGAGGGTGAGACGGAGGAGGAGGAAGAAGAAAAAGAGGAGAAAGAAGAAGAAGAGGGTGAGAATCATTTGTTATATATATGCACCAATATACAATAATAAATTAACAGCAATTTAAATTA